CCCCCCCCCCCCCCCCCCCTTCACTCTCTTAAGGTGTTTGTCTGCCCCAGGCAGGGGCAGGAGTTTTCTAGTCCTGGTCTGAACAAATCCCTTCTCCCAGTGCTCAGCTTCTTTGGGAATATTATTAAAGTCATGAATAATTTAGACACTCTAGAGGCCAGACCTAATGCACACACTATACATTGAAACCTCAAACTTGATTTCCAGAAATTCATTGAGACCGATTAAACAAATCAAAACTGATTGTGTCTTTTCCCTGAAGATAGGCATCACACAGTCCTGGTTCTCTGTGTTTTACAATTCTCTAAGATGCAGTGAGACACAGGACAGTCCATATTCTCAGGAATTAAACCGCCTTAGGAATTTGGATCCCCACTAGTTACTTATTTTGTAATGTTAGGCAAGTTATTTACTGCTGCTGAGTTTTGTTCCATAAATATAGCTAGAGTCAAACTAATCCTTGGATTATTAAATATTATGTATGAAAGCATCTTGACTAGTCCCTGGTTCCACCCAAAATAATTGTCCTTTTGCCTTTGGGAATTTAGTGACAAATGTATTTGAAAATTCATATCAAATCTCTCCTATTTCTCTTCAAAATCCTACATCAATAGAGTCCATATTTGAGTGTACAGAAAACTTACTTGGATACTTTCTTAAAATGCCAGGACTTTGGTTCAGGAAGTCCTAGATGGGGTCCAGGGGGTGGACATTTGAAGATGTGGTTCTGGGACAGGAGTTCCCAGAACACACCCTAATGTAATAGTACCAGTGCTGAACTGGCTGTAGTCGTAAGTGAATGAGGCAGGAACCAGGAAGGATGCCTGGGCCAATTCCCCGCTGGTCCTGGCCAGCAGGCTGATTCTGTAGCACATTCAGACGCCTTCCCTGGATCCTAGCTGCCTAGCCAGCAGTTCACAGACACTGGAAACACTCTGATGTAGGAATTTGGCATTCAAAGGTCAGTGAAGTGGTTCCTGTTTTCAGGGACCTCAGCATATTGAATACAAAGCCCAAAGTCTGGCCTTCAGGTTCCAGTCTCTGCCTTTTCTCCTGTCTGTTGTTTCATACCGTCCCTGAGGCTGTCTTCTTCCCAGAGATGCTCCTTGATTCTGTCCTGACCACTCCTTCCCCCTTCTAGTACAGCTGGTTCTCCTGCCATATATACTGTGTTGTCTAACTGCTCACCTCTGCACTCCATGTGAACATGTCACATAGCCCTGTCTTGGTGCTTGTTAGATATTTGTGCAGTTTAATTTTCTTAGACAAATCTGTCTTCCAAAACTTACGTTTATCAGATTTTTTTGGAGCACCTTCTATACACTGGGCACTGTTCCAGAAGCTGGGCTTGCAGCAGTGGACAACATTAAAACTCCTGCAGACATATCTACTTGGGAAAGACAGGCCATATTAACAAACTCTTTGGAATTCTTGGCTATTTGATCGCGATCTGTACCCTGACATCTGCTGCAATCTTGCTTGCTCTGACTCCTACTCTGTTTCCCTGCCAGATGGACTTCTTTCCTAACTGCGGTGTGTACAGCTTTTACTCTGGTGGTGATTTTATCTGTACCCGGACAGCTCTGCTTTTATCCTGGTTGCATTTGGAACCAAAGCATTTGCATCTCTTCCAGTCTTTAACCAAGATCATTCATTTCCAAAAGCCAGAAGCTTCCACGACAGGCTGACTTTTAAAACAACATGCAGCTTGTATGAGAGTACTTCAAAAAGCTTGTGGGAAAATGGAATTAAGATACAAATATATTTTAGCCCAAATAAATTTTGAAATCCATGTGTGATTTTTTTCAGAATACTTTTTCATGAACTTTCTGAAGACCCCTCTCCTATATTGCCACCTTACAGAATATTGTGGAATGACTCTGCCGTCCCATTTGTTTTGTTCTAATATTGCTTTTCTTTTTAAGCTTCTTAGCTATTAAGCCAAATATAAAAATAACTCCGACTACTTTGCATTCATATTCCATAATTTATTTTGAGTAGTACCATTAATAATTTATCAGCAGAAGATAATCCTATCTTTAAATGTGTGATTTTGTTTCTTTTTTATGTTTGCTGCATTCCTTTTGAGCTCTTTGAATTTTTCTCAGTCTAATACTTGTTTTAGAGAAATACAAGTCCAGTTTCTTTTTTAACTGCCAGAGGGCATATGCTCTCACCAGAGAGAGAGGGAAGGAGAAAGTACCCTCCAATGGGGCATGGTCTTACAGCAATCCCTTCTCTATTTCTTCACCCTGTCAGGACTTGGGGCATGGCCCTGGCATGTTTTGCAAGCTGTGAGAGCCAGAACTACGCACAATCCACTACCCACAATCCACTAAATGGAATTAGGCTCCCCTAACCATTAGGTGGTGATGCTGGCTCCAAGTCCAGTTTTATAACAAAAATGGACTGGAAGTTTCAGGATATCAAATATTCTACAAAGTGAGTTACATTTGGAAACTCAGGTCAAGTACAACTTCCATTTTTATTTTAAAGTGATGACATGATGTGAAAATGCCCCTCCATGTATTCTTTCCATCCCTCTGCGTGGGCTTATTTATTTATTTGACCTCTATCTGTTATCATCTTTGGCTTTCAGTTGCATACATTTGATCAGTTTTCAAATCTAAATGACTTCCTGTTGAGAACATGAACTGGCTTGATGGGAATTCTCTGGGGGTAAAATTCAAACATGAGGGATCTTACTTCGTGCTGGGAAATGAAAGATGAGCAATTGGATTTGAACATCATATCAGTCTTCAGTCAGGCAGCCATGAATAGGCATGTAGAATTAGAGTGTCAGATCAAGGATGGTCCCTCTGACCAGTGGCTAGGTTGCCATGCTTAGCTCAAGTTCAGACTGCCACGTTAGAACTTGATTAGAGCCTATACGTATGTGGCCATTGAAAGTGGCCATTAACTTGTAGATCAAACTATCCAGCAGACTAGCTGGAATTTAAAGCCATAAAATCTGACTACCCGGATACACCAAGAGTTCATAGTAGTAAAAAGTGATGCGCTGAGTGGCAGACCTGGGGGAAGATTTCAGGTTGATACCCTAGGACCTTTCTGAACATGCCAGGCACACATGTGCTCATGGTCTGTGGCTGGTTGAAGCTGGAGGGGGGTGGATCACAGCGTGGGAACATTGTAGAAGTGCCATCTTTCTCACTCATGGAAGAAATAAATAAATTTAGAGGAAATGTAATAATTTACACACCACGGTGTTGACACTTAGTCCTATCAGAACCCAAGATTTACTCAGAGACCCTGAAAGATAGGAAATGATGTACCTCAGTTCCTTGCTATTCTTTTTTTCTTTTCTTCCTGTTTGATGGAAAGGGAGGATGGAGTAAGTAACCTGTTCTATACAAAACTATAGTCACTGGTTGAATAGAACTTGTGGGAAATCTACTCTTGTGCTAACTGATGTTTCCTCCACTGAACTGACATTTAGAGATCAAAAGACCTGGAATGCACGCCATAATCGGGTTGTCTACATGTTAGGCCAAAAGTGGAGATATTTGGTGGGTGTGAGAGGCTCATAAAGCATCGATAAAGAGAATTAAATAATGGCAAATTTCTCAGACAAAAAAATTAGCATTGCCAACTTGTCCTTGCTAGGCAGCTCTGAAGTGCCACATCTTCTAACATGCCTAGGCTCTTATCCCTAAGGACATTTTTGTATTTTCCTTCATCCTCTCCAGTGAGATCATCTTTTTTTTTTTTTTTTTTTTTTTTTAAAGTTGGTATATTTCTTCCATTAGTAGAGAGGCAGAGATAAAAAGAGAGAGAGCACCTCAACAGGGTCTTGATGTTGCAATCTACCACTAGTCTCAGCTAGCCCCCACATCACAGGCAAGTGTGTGCCCAGAGTACTCAGGGAGATTTCTGGGTTAGAACTGGGAATCTTCTCATGTGGGAATGCCTCACTGAGCATCATGTTTTACCCTTATACCACTGTTTGGCCTATTCAGTTAAGATCCTTTTTTTAAAAAAAAAAAAATTTATTTAGTTAATTCCATTTGTTATTATTTTTTAATTTGACCAGAGAGAGAAAGGGAAAGGGAGAAAGTAAGTCAACAGGTCCTCCGGGACTTGAACTGTAGTCAGTCATGTAAAAATCCAGTGCCTTTAACCACTACACCCCCTGCTGGCCCCAGTTCAGTTAAGATCATTAACAAGCATGCTGGAAATGCTGCCCTTTCATACTTGGTGGTACTTGGTGGTAGGATTTCTCTTATAGTATATATACATATATTCTTGATCTGTCTACTGCCTTGCTTTTTATGAAATTATTTTAGAAACTGAGCTGCTACTGTATTTGTATACATTTTCTTTGAACAAGAACTTTAAGGGATCAAAAACTCTAAGCTCATGCTTTCATATAACTGAAACCACTGTCTATCTTTTTTTGTATCTAAAAGCTATAGAAACTATTATCAGCCTAGTTTATTTTACTTTCAACATAAAAGTAAAATCTTCTGGGACCAGCAGGTGGTCTGCTGGTTAAGGCACTGGACATTCCCACATGGCTGACCATGGTTCAAGTCCCGGACCTGGTGGCTTGCTTTCTCTCTCTCTCTGGTCAAATTGAAATAAATGAATGAATAAATAAAATTAAATAAATAATTATTTTTCAAAATAAAGTTTTTCTTCTTCTTGAGTTCTCTTTTTTTTATATCCAGCAGGAATAGCTCTTGTGATTATCAGCAGTTAGAGGAAACTCATGCATCTCAGTGAGCAGCGATAAATCACTATGGTGCCGAAAGTCTTAGAGATTTTCTTCTCTAGTCATTGTCAAAACCAATGTTTTTCTTGGAAGACATGTTTTTATTTAATTACCATATTTGGTACCTAAGAGGTTTTTTTTAATGTTTTATTTATTTTTATTATTTTTTTAAATTTGACCAAGGAGAGACAGAGGGAGAGTGAAGGAAAGTGAACAAGCAAGCCTCTAGGTCTGGGACTTGAACTGTAGTCAGCCATGTGAGAGTCCAGCACCTTAACCACCATGCCACCTGCCAGCCCCAATATCTAAGAGTTTAATGGGCAATTTATGATTACTGAATTTTGGGCTATCTTAGAACTTAATGTGTTCCATGAAGTGGCCAGAGAAACCTACATAGCTACATGTACTCATACATAGTACTTAAATGGCATATGCTGACTAGGAAAGGTGAGTCACTCTTCCTGTTAGTCTGGGGCATGTGTATGAGTTGTTTTGTTTTTGTTTTGGAGTGAGGGCTACTTGTGAGAGTAGGTTTCTGAACACCCAAGAGAACTTAGGAAACTCACAGTAGGCTCAGAGAGGAGTTATTCAGTTGGCTGGAGCAGAAGGGGGAGAGAGAAAGATCTGGATGAAGGAACGAGGATTGCTTAACATGCAAAGAATAAAGTCAGAGCAAAAAGAATTTTTGTGCCCTAACAGAAATAGAAAAACTTGAGATTTCAGCCAACTTATGAATTATGGTATTGATTCAGAGAAAATACAGTTTTCAACCATAGCTGAACATAAAAGGGGGAAACTTTTGAGCCTGCTCAGTGGCATAGCAGTAACACACTGCTCAAGCGATGCTGAATCCATATGGAAGATCATGAATCTGGTTCCCTGGTCAACCTTACACTCCAGACCTACGTGCCAATGATTCTGGATGAATTCTGAATAACTGGGAAGGCTTGTGGACAATCACAGAATGAGATACATTTAGAGTACATGTCTTTGTCACTCTCATGAAAGAAAGAACTAACACTTTAGAAAGAAGCAGGGGAGGAACTTGTTACTTAGAATAGTAGATGCCATGAATTGATTAATAATGTAAACTGGCCTAATGGTAATATCCTGAACTGCTGACATGGGATGATGGTTGTTCAATTGATTGTTGTACTCTATTTTCTTTCCAGCATTTTTCTACAATACAAGCATCTAGGTAAAGATTTAAAAAAAAAAAAAAATGGCTACCAGGTACAGTCACACGCCACATAATGAAGCTTCAGTCAACAGCAGAGCATGGGTGGTCCTAGGCCATCTGGTAGCATGGCATTTAAGAAGGCTGGATCCTCAGGACCAGCAGTTGGCATAATGGCTATGTCGCTGGACTCCCAGGTAGTCGACCACGGTTCGGGTCCTGGACCCGGTGGCTTAAACTCACACCAGGCATGTGTGCATGTGTGCCCAAGATCCCAAGAAGAGAATGGAGAAGGGATTGCAGTGTGGCCAATCCCCCCCCCGGGGGGGGTCTGACTTCTCGTTTTCTGTCTCTCTATCTCTCTGGCAAGCACACGTGACCTATAGCAAAACCCTCTCCAAAAAAAAAAAAAAAGCCTGGATCCTGTGTGGCCAAGTTCACTGTTCAAGTCCCAGATCTGCAGCTTGAAAAGCACACTGAACACGTGTGCCCAAAATCCCAAAAGGAGAACAGAGGAAGGTGGATTGCAGTTGGTCCATGGCCAATCGCCTCCCCGCTGGGGGGATGCTTTCTCACTATTTGTCTGTCTGTCTGTCTTGAGCAAACACACGCACCCTGTAGCAAAACTTAAAAAAAAAAAAGAAAAAGAAAAAACCTCAGCGATGATCCCATAGGAGCATATAGGCTACGCCATATAGCCTAGGTACGTAGTAGATTGTGTCGTCTATTCAATAGGTCTGTGTAGGCACGCTCTGTGATCGTCACATGATGATGAAATTGCCTAATGACACATTTCTCAAAACTTATCCTCGTTGTTAAGTGACATGACTATGTGAGACGTACAAGTTGTTGGGAGGAATTAAAAGTTTGAGTTTATTTTGGTGCAAAATAATTTGAAATCCTTACATAATTTGTTCATAATATGCATTTCTCATAAACTTTTTGAAGTCCCTTCTTATTTGTATAGCTTTCACCTAAAAATACAATTTTTTTTTTTAGAGGTTTTTGCTATAGGGTGCGTGCACTCGCCAGACAGAGAGAGACATAGAGACAGAAAGCGAGAAATCACCCCCCAGGGGAGATGGTCACGCCGCAATCCCTTCTTCTCCATTCTCCTCCCGGGATGGATCTTGGGCACGCACATACACGCACCCAGCGTGAGTTCTAAGCCTCCGGGTCTGGGACACGAACCGCGGTCGACTACGTGAGAATCCAGCGATATAGCCATTACGCTAACTGCTAGTTCCCCCAAAAAATACGATTTTAAAATATCAAGTAGGCTAGATGTTGGTCTGACCGGTCAGGGGCATTTTTCTCACAGGCATGTGGTTGGTACAGGGGTGGGTCAATCATAAGGACACAGACCTGCTCATGAAATCAACTTCAAAATCTTGAATCAGCTTCCAGATTGACTTTGTCTAGCTTATTCATACCTAACTATAGTTTTTTATGAGGGAAATTTTCTATAAGCTTTTAAAACAAATTTTTAATTGCCAGAGAGCGAGTGCCTTCACCAGAGAAAGACAGAAAGAGAGGGAGGAAGCAAGCCCTGGGGGGAGGTGGTGTGTGGTCCAACCACAGTCCCTTCTCAAACACTGTTTCGGATTTCAGGCACACATACAAGCCTGGTGTGTCTTTCAAGTCACTGGGGTTGAGACCAAATGTGTTCAACCATCAGGATCTGGCTACAAGCTGGCCTTACAAGCTTTTTTGAATATATTTTTATTTTTACCGTGTTGCCTTGGAGTAGTGAAAACTAAGTGCTTTTCTCTCTAATCTAGATGTGGACTATTTAGAAGCACAGCTGAAGAGACTTCCAAATGAATAAATATCTCCTGCTGTTTAAAGCGCCAACCTTCCAACTGATTAAGAAACTGCCCAGGCAGGTCTTCTGAGTCACCGTGTGATTCTGGACAAGCTGCTTGACCTCTCTCCAGGCTTAAGTGAAGTTAATGTTTTTCCTCCCACCAACTCATGACGCTGCCTTGGGGATGGAAAAAACAAATGTTGCAAAGTCCAGTGCAGATTTTTAAAATGCCACAGGAAAAATTAGGTAAAAAAAAAAAATACTCCTCTTCTATGAAATGCAGCTGCTGTGTAAAAGACGCGTGGCACACAGTCTTCTTGGCTCAGGGAGGAAAATATCCGTCTTCCTATCATTCAAAGCCAAAGGCAGAACGACACCATGGCAAGCTTTAAGAAAAGTAGCAGAGTGTCCTTTTTAGATTTAAGAGGCAAGTCCTGTTCTTCTCTGATGTGTCTGGTTAATAAAAAGATCATTTACTGCAGATGATTACCTAAAATGATGTCGGTGTTCAAATCTCAGAAACATGTCTTCGGATGCAGTTGCACCTCTTGGAAAATGAGTAGCACTGAGCTTTCTTAAAGGAGGTCTTGGTTACCAGTATAACTACCAGCTTCTGGAGGATGCCCTGACCATTGTCCACTCCCCGCTGTTCTCCTTCCTTAAAATACACAGACTTCATGCCTCTGCATGATCTCTTAACTGACACACACATAATGCTATGTGCTGGAGTGCCTTTTCCTGGCAGTGAGCCATTTATACAAAATAGTTTTGTGACACACAGTTGCTTGAAGAGCTATCTCTTACACAGCGTATATCCTGCTAGCATCTCTCACCACTTAATGGACAAATGTAGTCACACATCTGGCTGGGATTCTGGTACGGAGGAAAGACTTTCATTAGAAAGGAGCCGTCTGAAGTTTCCACAAGCGAACTTTAGTGTCTACTTTTTCTTGATGGGGACATCATACGACATACAACCCCACTAAAGTAAAACACTTGGAAGTGGCCTTTGCCACAGGTATGTCCAAAAGAGGTGACATGCTACAGGCCTCTTGGTGAGGAGCAAAAAAATAGGTTAGCATTTCTGAGCAGAGAATTCTGAAGGAATTAGTGGGGTACAAGCATTTGTTCTCACATCACCTATTTAATCTCCAAAGATGCTCCTTCATACGTAGGAATGGAGGATGGAAATGTTTAAAGGGGTGTTTTGGTTTCTGTCTGTCTGGTTTGTTGGACTCTTCTCAAGCAGCTACCAGATCATTCCAGTTTGGGAGACACAACTTTAGAAAACAAATGCCTGTCTCCATAGTAAAGTACTCTTCTGTACCCACAAAAAGCTTGGAGAACCAGAAATTTAATTTGCTTATTCTTTTATTACTTTATCTGCCAGACTTTATTGAGCACTTGTGATGTGCCACATGCTGCCCTTGTTCCTGGAGATACAAATATACAGGGACCCAGATCCTGACGTCGAGGAGCCTCTAGTCCTTACGTCATTTTAGGTTCTGCATGTGTGGTTTTAGACTAATTTGCACAACTGGATTGTCCATTCTGAACATCAGAATCAGAGACAAGTGATTTCTGGAACTCATCAATAACTAATTCTCACTAAAAATGCTGTCCAGATACAGGAGAGAAAATTCTCCTGTGATCTCTTTCAAAGACCTCACTAAACAATACACTTGGAGGGGCCAGGTGATGGCCCAACAGTGGTGGCACTGGACCCACATGGGATGGTCCTGAGCTTGTATCCCGGGATCTCTTGTGCATGTTGAGCACATACACACATGGCCCTGATCTGGGATGATTGAGGCTGGGAGCAGATCATGGTGTGAAGACCTGGTTAGGAGTGTTCTCTCCACTGCTGTGTCTTAGAAGAAAGAAAGAAAAATAACAAACTCTTGGAAAACAAAATTAAACAAATAAAAGAATTTAAAAGAATTTTAAAAGAATTCTTTATTTTCATTTTATTTATTTTAATATTTGCTATAGGATACATGCATCCACCAGAGAGAGAAAGTGAGAAAGCAAGCCACCAGGTCCAGGACTTCAACCATGATTGACCATGTGGGGGCCACCTTTACCACTATGCCACTTGTTGGCCTCCCAGAGGGACTTTTTAATGAGGTACTACATTGAAGTGATATTACTGAGTGCCTTACATTGGGTCGTTGGAAAAGTCACGTGTGTTTTTCTATGTAAAAATGTGTCATGACTTTTCCAGCGACCCAGTATTTTAGGATACCCACAGCAGCAGAGTAGAAAAGGTGATGTTGGGGGAGACTTCTTAGAGTTCCCCCAGTTTAATGTTCTCTCTTCTTTCTATTTGAGAGGCTAAGGGGACCATTGCCCATATGAGACCAAGGAGGCAAAATCACACAGACCCAGTGTAATCAAACAGACTGGTTTTTAGAGGAGAAACAACCTTACGGATAATGAAATTGGACAGAGCCTGGATATGGAGGCAAAAGCCCAGTTTTGGAATGGCCTTCTCTGATATTTGCTGTGTACTTTGGCCCAATCCCCTCACCTCCTTGGATCCCAGGTTGCTGACTTGTCAAGTGAGAGCATTATAGTGGGTGATATCTACAGTGCCTTCTAATGCTAACATTCAGTTATTTTGTGATGGGGATGGCTGTGCAGTATGTTTTTGCAGTTTTAGTTCATTGATTAGGTGTTTCATCTATGGCCAAACTTGCTTCAGTGTTAAGATTAGGATAATTGTAGTGAGGCTTTGAGGTTAATAATTAGCTAAAATAAACGAGTCATTTCACACCTCTGCTAGAGCTCTCCTTTTCAGCTCTCTGTGTAGGAGAACAGATAACAGAAAACAGCAGTGAATTAATTCACAAGGAAAGATTATTTTTGGCAATTAGGAAAGTTGGACATGTCTCTGTGTGTATATACATATTACATACATAAATATGAATATATGTTTATGAGTATGTATGTAAAGATGCCATTTGTCCTTAAATATGAATATTCCCAAATAATGAAATTACAAATAGCTAACATTTATAGTGTTTATGGGACATATACTGTTTGCTGAGCACTGTTGAAGACTTTATAGACATTCTCAGAAACTTCTCATTTTCATTTATTTCTTCTATTTCCAGTCTTAATGTCCACAGCTGCTTTCTCAAATTATGGTGGTCTGTGAAGTTTGTTGCAAACATCTTATCTGGAAGTCATAACATTTATCAGAATATAAGGAAATGACAATTTGGGAAAAGGGCTCTCAATTTGAGCTTTTGGTAAAGGCCTTTATGAAAAAGCATTTGATCATCTTTATCTCTACATCTTTAGAGAGAAAGGAAAAATCTTGCAGTTTTGGAGAATGGGAGACATTTCCATCTCTACTGAGACTAAAAAAATTTTTTCAGTAAGAATCAAAAATTTTCCCCAGGAATGAGGGTTGCATTTGATCAGTTATTGTGATACTTGGGCCATATGCTCTGGAAACAGTGTTAAGGTTACGTGTTCACATAACTGATACAATTCAGGTGTGATTCTTTTTGTCTGGATCATCCCAGAATGCATACCAGTACCAAAGCTTCTTTGGGTCACTAATTTCCATCTTCTTTGCTTATGTAGAAGTCTCAGAGCAGTGATGAAACATTTCACAGCATGAGGGATGTGTTTTATACTATGATTATAATGCTATATGTTTTCCCAAAGTGTACAAATATAAATGTGCTGTTTTACTCATATGCCTGCATATGGAAAACAGAAATAAAAATTATTTCATTTGTCTACAATGAATGTTATTCCTTTGCTTAGTGGCTTTTGATACCCTTCAGCCAAACCATTCAGCTTCTCAAGATACCAGAATCTGTATTAAATACAGTAATGCATTTCCTAGTCCTGTTTTTCTTCTCTTTCTCTCCTGCTTTAATGACTCCATTGGTAAGTAAGCAATGAATAATGTCAACTTTTCTATAATGCCAGTAGTATTTGTTGCTGTTTCATAAGTAATTTAGGAAAGCAACTGAGGCATAACGAAGCTAAATTATTTATTATTGTATTCGCCTCTACTGGATATCACTATAATCTTCTATATTAATGTCTTTCTTACAAGTGAAAGGTTGGAAAATTGAAATCGGTGGGTTAAACTGGTAAATTAAACAGCTCTGAAATATTTCAGGTGAATAACCTATCCTGATTTTTATCATCAAATCAAAATAGCACTACTCTAAATATCTAAGTGAGAATTTATGTATTCTTAGTTGTAATATCTTCTTTAAGTGAATTCGTTTTAGGGTTATCAACAGTTTGAGCCAATTCACATGAGTCAAGCGTGGACTTATGAATCCAGTTCAGTGACAGTATGGTATGGGTAAGACAGACAGAGCCAAGATGAGTGATTCTCTGTGGGATGGACGCCATTGTCAGAAGCCAGTTGAGCCAGGGCTGGCAATGCAGGCAATGTACAGGTTAACTCAAGAGCCACAATTTGGGGAACCTTGAATCTTTAAAAGTGTCTGATGTAGACATTGTCAGAAAGTTTGTGCATTGTGAGGGCATAGGCAGTCAGAAGGGACATTGGGAGTTGAATGGTGGCATAGTGGTAATGCAACACTGTGATGCTGACTAAGCCAGTTGAGCCAGGGCTGGCAATGCAGGCAATGTACAGGTTAACTCAAGAGCCACAATTTGGGGAACCTTGAATCTTTAAAAGTGTCTGATGTAGACATTGTCAGAAAGTTTGTGCATTGTGAGGGCATAGGCAGTCAGAAGGGACATTGGGAGTTGAATGGTGGCACAGTGGTAATGCAACACTGTGATGCTGACCTATATGGGAGGGTTTAGAGTTCACATCCAGAGACCTCCCTGAGCACATCAGGCAAGCATATGTCCGTGATCCAGGCTGACAGAAGCTGGGTGTGGATTGTGGTGTGAAGCCCTGTCTCTGTCTCTTGCACATGGAAGACATGAATAAAATAAAACGTCTATGAATAAGGATCCACCTATAAGTGGATCTCACTTTTGGAATAAGCCTATTCCTTAATTGCTGCATTAATTTAAAAAAAAAAAAAAGGAGAGAGGAAAGAATGGACATTAGTTCTAATATGTTGTATCCACCTTTTAGTTGGTTTTCCTTTTTGGATTAGGCTTTTTCTTTATTTGTTGCTTTATTTTAAAAAAAAAAAAAAGGAGAGAGGAAAGAATGAAAGAATGGACACTAGTTCTATATGTTACTCTTCCGCCAGACTTGAAAGAGTGGGTGGGAATCATTGAGCAACTGATCGCCAGAAAGGAA